AGGGGTGGTAGTTGGGGGCAATTAGATCAGCAAGGGGGAAGTTTGGGTCAAACAGGCTGGCGGGGGTGGGGGGGTAATAGGGGGAAATTAGGCTGGCAGGCAGGCATTTGAGGGTAAGCAGGCTAGGGGAGAGGGGTGGCATTGGAGGCAATCAGGCAAGCAAGGGGGGAAGTTGGAAGTTGGAGGGTTGGAGGTGAGCAGGCTGGCAGGCAGAGTGATTAGGGGCTGTCAGGCAGGCAGGCAGGTGAGTGGTTAGGAGCCATCAGTCCTGGATTGCTAGAGGGATCACAGATTGGAGAGGGTGCAGGCCAGGCTGAGGGTGCAGGCCAGACACCTCCCCCAACTTCTCCCAGTGCACTAGTCCTCATATAATACTAGTAAAATAATTTCTACCTTCAATAAGGTATTTTTATCTGTTTGTTGTTGTTGTTTTGTTTGTTTTTTTACTGATATGAATAACTTTTGTCCCTAGAAATTTTGAGAAAAATGTGTTTTCTTCTGTACTGGTGTCTTTACTTGGTTTTATACTATCACTTGTGATAAAACAAAAAATGGCATTCCCTAGCCCAAGAGATCAAGCTTGACGCATGAATTAAAAGTTAATTCATTGGGTCCTGGCCATTGTGGCTCAGGTAGTTTAGCGTCGTTCCATGCACTGAAAGGTCACCAGTTTGATGGCCACATGACTAGGCCACATTGCAGGCCACATCTCAGGTAGGGGTGCATGTGGGAGGCAACCTATTAATGTTTTTTTTCTCTTCCTTAATCCCTTCCTCTATTTTTTTTAATAGATTTTATTGATTTTTTACAGAGAGGAAGGGAGAGGGATAGAATGTCAGAAACATTGATGAGAGAGAAACATCAATCAACCGCCTCTTGCACATGCCCCACCGGGATGTGCCCGCAACCAAGGTACATGCCCTTGATCAGAATCGAACCCGGGACCCTTGAGTCTGCAGGCTGACGCTCTATCCACTGAGCCGAACTGGTTTCGGCCCCTTCCTCTATTTCTAAAAAATCAATAAAACATTTTAAAGTTAGTTTATTGGGAAATAAAATACATTTGTTTGCATTTGGATTGTTATTGTGTAGTGCCATCAAACTATACATATCTAAAAGTTTTGAAAGATAAGACTTTGTAAATGTCTTTTTTCCACCCCATTTATTCTATCTGGTTTTCCATTGATTCAACATTTATAGGAAATCTGCTCTGAATTAGACTCTGTGGTCTCTTTGAGTGGGGCTTTTATCTGTTGAAAGTATACAAATTGAGTTGATTCTTTGCAGTTCTGTCCTCTGAGGGATAGATCAGAGCTCCATTTGGTACAATTCTAGATTTAAATCCTTAAGTCCACATGTACCCACATTATTTTAAGAAAATTCCAGGTTATTTCTTGCTTTATTTGCTTGTTTTAAGGTCATATCCCTCCCCCTTCTTTCCTTCCCCTCCTCTCTGTCATCAATCTATATCTGTCATCTATCAAGCAACTGTCTATTCATCAATCTCTATATTTATAATACAACAAGATGTTTACTTGAGCAGGGACAAGTTTTCAGTGGTGTTGGCACTGTGAACTGGTGGGGTTTTGTTTTGCAGTGCAGGGGAAGATGTATAATTTTAGTGAAATAGCCAGCTTGAGAACTCTCGGTTCCTCAGGTGAACAATCAATACATAGATTGTCCCTGCATGTCCCTATGAAAATTGTCATGAGTGCAGACATGATCTTTGACCTGCTTCATATCTGTGTTCTCCACAAGGGACTGGTGTTCAGTGTGTGGATGTGGGGGCAACATCCCCTGAGCACAGGGATTGGTGTCCAGTGTATAGAGGTGGGGACACCATCCTTGGTTTCAAGCTTTGAGAGTTCTGTGACCCTGTGACCAGCTGCTGTGATGCTAAGGTCCTGTAACTGACCTCCTTAATACACCTGTGATGCACAGTTGGCAGACTACGTAGCTCTTCATGGTATCACTTCTCAAACTCTGAAGAAAAGACAGGTTGGGATTGGAATATGCACAGTAAATCACACATTTCTTATCTACAAAGATGTATATAAGTGATTTCTTCTTCTGTTGGATCTGATTACATGAAAATCGCTATGCTTGTGGTTTTGATATAAATATTTATTGGTATGCTTAAGAAGAAAAATAATTTACCAAGGAGATTTTGTTCACAAGTTGAGAGAAATGAGGTTTTGATTTTATTGTTTGAATTCTGTATACAAACATCTGTGCAAAGAGCGAGGTGTCTAAGCTTCTACTGATGTTTTATTATTTATTAATACGAAAGTGATGGCTTTAAAGAGGTAAAATTCATCGTTAGTGCTGAAATTTTTAAAGCATAAAAGTATCATTTATATCATCAAAAACTGTTATTCTATTGCTCCACACAGTAATTATGATGTCCTTTCTTTAACAAGAGCGTAAACCGTGGCTCTGAAAAATGAATCAATTTGTCATTGTACAATGTGACAAAGCTGGAACACAAACCCAGGTTTTTCAGCTATTTAAGCCCACACTTTTGTCATGTTCTATTTTCCAGCATTCCCAATGATAAATAATAAATGGTTGTTTTATTACTCTGCAGACTCTGTGAGACCAAGAAGCTTGAGGAATACAGTGTGCTCTCCTGAAGCCCTGGGCCGCAACTCACAACCAAATAAACTTTTATTGCCTTTTTCCTCCTTGCCAAGAACTATCTCTTGCCAGCACTGGTTTGGCTCAGTGGATAGAGCGTCAGCCTGCGGACTGAAAGGTCCCGGGTTTGATTCCAGTCAAGGGCATGTACCTTGGTTGCGGGCACATCCCCAGTAGGGGGTGTGCAAGAGGCAGCTGGTCGATGATTCTCTCTCATCGACGTTTCTAACTCTCTATCCCTCTCTCTTCCTCTCTGTGAAAAATCAATAGAATATATATTTTTTTTAAATCCAATTCCAAAAAAAAAAAAGAACTATCTCTTCTGTTACTTGTATGCACCCTGAGACCAATATGATCATCTCGATTTTGTAATAAATAGAAAGCTGAGGATTTATGATTTTTTTTGAAATTGATCAAAAGCCAAGTTGTTGTTAAAAATGGAGATATCAGAAATCAAACACAGGTCTTATTTTAAAGGTCACGATCTTTTCACCTGAGAATGATATAGAAAAGGGACCATGTCTTGAATCATTAATCAATGTGCTTCTCTCCTATTGCCCCATCTAGACTAGTTGGTCTACCTCCTTGGACCATAGCATACACTCAGCCCACGCAATGAAGGCAGCCTGGGTTTATTGATACCAATGTAGAGCAGTTGGAAAACAAACAAAAGAGAAGTAAGCATATCCATGCTCATTTTCTGAGTTTCATAACAGACTTTTCAAACACAAGACAAAGAACATATGGAGAGAAAGGTTTTTTGAGTTATGAGAGCCTAGGTCTTTGAGCTGAGATCCTGACCTAGGCAGTAGGCAGAAATGATGCTGTGAAACCCAGGGTTTTCTTTTGGCCCATTCTGACTAGAAGGTCTGGCTCCTATCATGCTATACCTTCTTCTTTTTTTGCCAGACCAACCCCTTGAAGGATATGGGGCAATAGGTGCCTTCCTTGGAGGATAAGTACCCCAAGTGGAATATTCTGGTTCATTGCTTCTTACCAAGGATCCTGAGAGTTAACAAGAGTCCAGAAGTCCTCTTCCTCCCCACACACCACCATGACACTAGAGAATGAGTTCTGAGCAGACACTTTGAGCTAACCTTCTAATATCCCAATACTCCTGAGAATATTGAAACTAGTAAAATGTTTTCTCTAAGTAGTATTACCAGACCTTAAGGGCCAAGAATCTGAAAGGTCTCTTAGTATAAGACATGCTGTAAGTTCCATTTGACAAGTGCCTACATGCAGAAGGGGACTGCTTAGCAGACACTAATATGAACAGAACCCCCCACCCCCGGTCACTTACCTCTCCCTGATGCCCCAATGCTAGATCAGTGCTGTGGAATTTACATACTATCCCAGCTACGTGTATATGCATAATGGGGAACAAGTCTAAATTAGTGGAGTTTGCCCTAAATAGACAAGATGAACATTTTCTAGCTTTGTATTGTCAGGAGAATGAGACCTTGTAAACATGTGAATTTACTCTTTATTCCCACTTCGCTCATTTACTTCGAAAGGGTTAATTATTTTAAAATTATTTTAAACTTTCAGTGTAAGGAGAAATAATCATTCTCCTAAAAATAAAGAAGGAAACTAAAATAGAATTTGCACATTGATGAACCATGTGAAAAAGTCTCATCCGTTCCCATGTCATTATTCATTTTCATATTGGTGACTTCCAAGTCTCGCTGTCAGCTCAGCTTCCGCTATCCTCTACATCTCCATAGATCAACAGGTGCAAGGAGGTGAGGGCTGGAGTGGAACTTACTACATTGTTAAGTGAATGAAGGAATGCATGAATATTTAATTTGTGTGTTTTCCCCCCCAAGAAATCTACAAGGTGATCTGTCCACACGCATTGGTTTTCCATCACTTTGCAAATAGAATAGGGATACCCTTGCTCCTATTTTTTTTAAGTATATTTGGTTGATTTTCACAGAGAGGAAGGAAGAAGGATAAAGAGTCAGAAATATCAATGAGAGAAAATCATTGATTGGATGCAACGAAGGCACAAGCCCTTGACCAGAATCAGACCCAGGACCCCTCAGTCTACAGGCCGATGCTCCATCCACCTAGCCAAACCCTTGCTCCTTTATAGGTTTCTTAATGATGGAGTATCCAAAATTATTTGCTACCAACCAGTGATCATGTGGAGAAAAGAAAATTTATGGTCATGAAAATTCTCCTCTGTGAAGGCCAACAGGTCTCAACAAAGAAGAAGATGAAGTTCTATAAAACAGGAACAGGAACAAGGCTGAGGTCGATTCTGGGTTATTCCAGACATACCCTGACCTTCATTCTCCAGGCCCATCTGCCCTCTGGTAGGGCATTTGCTGGTTTGGCATCACCAGGAGAGGCCTTTCTTACCCACTTTGGGGGAGGATTCCCTCTAAAGTCTTATTTCTGACACTCTTTAGAAAGCTCAGAACTGTGGTTCCTCCTGTGCCCCTGTCTTCTAAGGCCTGAGGTGGCCCTGGGAGATGGCTTAGCTTCCTGCCTTTTGCTTTGGCTGCAGATGTGATAATGTATTTGGTCACCATGGTTATGTGATAGCTGCGCAGGTCTGCCAGGGCCTGCACACACTGGTTATAGGCTGTCAGGAGTGGGCCATTCTCGGAGGATAGAACATGGTCCCTCAGTGAAGGAGCTGACTGGATGGCTTCTATGAAGGCTTTATGAGAAGGTGGCATGTAGTCCCTCATGTTGAGCAGAAAGTCACCTGAAAGAAATAATCCAGACCAATGTCAAAGCTCCACATGGAAAGGTAAGAGAGCTGATCTGCTTTTCCAGACATCAATACAGCAAAAAGTGTTGTTATCATGCTAACTGTCCAATCTATTTGCTGGCTCTTTTCTAATAGACTTCAAACACACAAATGCACATTCCTTACTAATGATAGGTGACAGGGAAGGGAAAATGAAGTAAGCACAGCTCAGATAACTGAATTGGAACTACCTCTATCATGGTATAAATGTTTACCATATGTCAAATGTGGGCAAATTATATTGTTAATCATTCTGAGAGGATATTTACAGATGTTAGCATAAACTCTTAAACTAAGTAGCTAGATAATCTGCTGAATTTTATTTCTTAAATGTTTTGTTTTGGAGGGAGTGCTAAGGAAGAAGAAAGTAATAGGGTTTATAAAAGCAAAAAGATAAAGAATGAGCAATTGTTTTAATTACAATCTCTTGAAGACAAATTGTTTAAAAACCTAATCAATTGATATTTATAAGAAATGTAGATAGATATGTAATCTATAGGAAACCCATTCTGTGTTTAATATTACACATGGTACGACACCTACTAACATCACGAAGTCAAAATGCATGCAAAGGTCTAGTTTTAGAAAACTGACTTCTGCAGATGAAACTGGACTCTCTGACATCAAATTCTAGTCTTTTTTTTTCTAATTCAACTTGAAACCTCTGTACTATGAAGTGGTTTTGGCAGCTATTAAACATCTGGCTCAAGACTGACAGGTAAGGAAATGAGCAATTTGAAATTTCTAAAATGGTTGCCCTTCTCTCTTCTGATCTAAATAGAATTGGCTTGAGGTTGCACCATCTTCATGGAGGAGCTTAGAAGCATCAGGGGCAACACTGAGACTTATCAACAAACTCCAGAACTCTCCTTTATTTTAGAGCAAGGAAGCCATTGCCTAAAGTTCCAAACAAAACTGCAGTGAACAGCTGGAAATATAGCAATGTTTTAAGATTTGGAAATGAAACCCAATTTCCTGCTGAGACCTGATATTAATTGACTTGACACAATAACATGTGGTAGGCACAGAGTTTCCCAGTTAATTTGGAAAAGTATAGACTTCGTGACATTTTAAGTTACACTTGGTTTTATCAATTTGTAAAAACACCTCTGTTCTTCTCCCTGTTAAGAAAGAAAAAAAAAAGGAAAGACAAAGAAAAATGTCTGGCTTACCACTTTCCTTGCTATGGCGAATGCCCAAGAACTCATCAAAGGCATGAAGCACTGTGCTCTGAGCTGCACTCCCTCCAGAGTATTTCAGGGGCTTCGTGGAGGCTCCTTCATATATCAATCCCACAGGCAATGCTGGGTTATCTTTCCATCTAAGCAAGAGTAAAAGTCAGAAAGAAGTAGGTGCTTGGAGTTAAGAGTCTATTTTTCTAATATAGAACCAGAGGGTGAGCAATAAAGCAAACATGATTTGATGGCAATTTTAGAGCAAAAGACTAGATATCTTTGTAGGATATGTACTTAAGCATCATCTTGACCCCAATTTCATAATAGGACATAGAATGCAGTCCTTCTCCTCCCTCGTTTAAAGGAGTTTACAGAGAAGTAAAGAATAAAGAATGCCCAACTGGTGTGGCTTATTGGTTGAGCATCGACCTATGAACCAGATCACAGTCTGATTCCCAGTCAGAGAACATGCCCAGGTTGCAGGCTTGATGTCTAGTGAGGGGTATGCAGGAGGCATCCAATCAATGATTCTCTCTCATCATTGATGTTTCTATCTTTCTCTCTCCCTCTCCTTTCTTCTTCAAAATCAATAAAATTATTTTTTTTAAGAATCTCTCATCTAATCATAAAGATCACATCATTGCTTATCAACAGGAACAAAGTAGGGGCTCCAGAACAATCTTCACTTCCCCTGATAAAATAGCCTTGATGACTTGATAATTTCACTAGTAGAAATTTGAAAACACACACACACACACACACACACACACACACACACACACACACACACACACATATAAATACACGCATACACACACATTTGCCCTTCCCTGAAACAGTTTTAACAGTTGTCATATTAAACTATCATTTCTAAATGCTCCCTGACTTTATGGGAATGTCTTTATCAAACGCTCTGTTGATGACATGTATGTATACTAAGAATATGACTAAAAGAAAACAATACAAGCCTTCAGAGTACCAGAAGCAAAGTTCAAGGACATGCGGAAGGACTGGAAGAGAGACTCAGTCATGCTAGGGTTAAGTGGGTTTTTCTCCCCTCTCCTCTTTTTTCTTTTCTCCTTTCTTCCCTTCAGTCTCCCTAATTCCATTTATCTTTTTGTCTCTGGATACCTTTCTTTCTACCTCTACTATTACACTCATTTCCGTCTGCTTTTTTTTTTTTTTTTTTTTTTACAAAGTCTTAAATAGTCACAGAGTGTAAGTGGGTGGCTCCATAATGAGACAAAAACAAGAGCACCAAGAACACATATATTTGTACTTACAACACTTTACAGTTTATAAAGCACCTTCACATTCATTTATTTTTCGTTTGACCTATTTTGAGTAGATCAAGACAGGTATTTTTAAGCCCATTTTGCAGATAAAGAAATAAAGACTCTAAGCAGTTCATTCTCAGGGCCACATTGCTAGGGAACAGGAGAACCAGAACTTAAATCCCAAACTTGTAATTTTCTAGTTTCATGTTCTCAGAACCTGCACATGTGGATTTCTACTTTTTCCAAGAAATAGAATCTTTTTTTCTTATTACCTGGAACAAACTACTCCCAGTTGTTAACAGTTTAAATAACAGGCTTACGTGATGTCCCGCCTTCTTCCTGTAGTTTTAAAAGTCATTGTGCTTCAGAGAAAGAAAACACATCTCATACACAAGAAAGCTGTAGACTGGCCACTCAGCTTGCTATTCATGACCTTTTTTACATATTTCTCTGAGGCAGGAAATGCTACAAGAAGCTGGATTGTTTTCTTTTGGGGTTGTTTTTGGTTGGCTGTACTCTGATTTTCACTGGAGGAATATCAGAGTGGCTTTGCAAGGGGGGCGCTGTCACTCTTGAAAGGAATGGAGCACAGAAAGCAGTTTGGAAGCCAAGCAGGAAAAACAAAGGAAGGCTTCTGAATGTAAAAGTATAACATGCTGTGCCTGTTAGGAAAGAGGGCTCTGTTTTAGGCAGATAGAAAATTTAATCTCAGCTGTTATGTGCATTAACTGTGAGCCTTGGCTTAGTTCAATATTCTCTGAGCCTCCACTTCCTCCTCCACATACCACAAGAATCCACCTTATTGGGTTTTTGAGAGAACTAATTAAAACAATATTTGCTCAATGCCTGGAATACATTATTAAGCATTCAATAAATATCAGCCATTTTAGAATGTTATTCAGAATGAGTGGATCCCTGTTCTCCCTTTCATTATTCTGTTACTTTGTACCACTCCTCTGAGTGTTCCTGTTCCTAATTTGCATCTACCTCCTAAAGCTGCTGGGAGAAAGGAATGGGTTTCAGAGAGGTCTCACGACCTGTCAAAATTCAGAACAGTGGTCAGATAAAATTTCTAAACATTTTCTGTGGAAGAAATATGGAAGATGACTGATATCTGTAGTAAGCGGACCAAATACAATGACCAGCCTGCTAAATATCTGCACAGGAATGAACATGTTCTAAGCTGACCTCCTGATTCTTCACCCTTTTGCCAAACTTGACCTGCCTATAGTTTTCCCCAACAGAAAAACTGGCAGTTACATCTTTTCAGCAGAGTTGGACAAAACCATAGAATCTTCTTTGATTGAACGCTTTCTTTTCCATTCCATGTGCACTCCAATAGCAAATCCTGTCAGACTTTATCTTCAATCTGTACCCAGACCTGGCCATCCTCAATGCTTCTGCTGTTACCATCCTAGTTAAAGCTACTACCCTGAATTGTAGTAAAAGCTCCTTAAATACTTTCCATTCTTGAGTTGAAATCATCTATTTTCCACTTAGAAGATAGAGTGATGAATTGAAACTTAAGACAGATCATGTAAGTCCTCTCAAACTTGCCAGTGTTGCCCATCTCACTCAGAAAAGAAGCTAACGGGCCCCTGCAAGACCTGGTCTTCCACCAGCACGTGTATCTTTCTCATTCTCCCCAATATTTACTCCAAGCACTGCTGGCTTCCTTGCAGCTACTCCTCCATGACAAACATGCTCTTGCTTCAGGGTCATTGTCATTTCTTTTCCTTTTGCTTGCAACAAGTATCTAGGTGGCTTATTCCTTACTTCTTTCGGGTATCTGCTTAAATATCACTTAGAAGTGTATTTATTTAGCAATAAATAAACAAACAAACTTTGGCCACCACAATCCATGATGCCTTATATCTTACTTCACATTTTCTCATATTGTTTATTGTTTTAATGTATCTTGCATGATACTTGATGTTATTATATTTATTTTTCCACCTGCCTCCAATCATTAAAATGTATGTAAGTTCCACAAAAAAATTAAGTTGCTATTTTGTTTTATTGCTTCATTGCTAACACCTAGAACTGTGCCTGGAAGATGAATCAGTGAATAAAACATATAGCATTCTATAATTATGTATTGTATCTAGAACATGTAGACCCAAGTATATTTCTTAAAAAGACCTGGCCAGCCTAAAAGAGTTATCAAATGCTCAAATGGTGAAGACATCATTCTCCTTTTGGTGCCTTAACCTGAAGAAGATACCTTGGAGCCCCATAGAATACCAGAAGAGAAAATACCAGTGTAAAAGTCAAAAAAGTAAGAGAAAAGCATCTACTTTTACTAGTAAAACCCACATATTCTCTGTCTATAATGACAGTAGTTTGAGGAAGGGAAATTGAGTTCTTGTGAAGAACCCAAGGATTGCTCCTATGCATTCTCAGGCCCAAATTGCTGTTTGTGAAGGAAAGAATTATTTTTCTTTCAAATCTCTGTAGGCAAGATTATTTTTAGACTTCTTGTAGCATATTTCTAGGAAACTCAATAGAAGCAGACATTTAAAAGGAAAAGAAAATGAGATGACATTATTTTTCCACAGGGACCATTAGCCTCCTGAGAAATTTAATATGAGTGGGAAATAAAGATAAAATGTTTCATCTGCAGATGAAATCTCCCAACTCTCCTAAATAAAAAAGCTTTAAAAAGTCAACAAAAATAATAAATCAAACATAGAACAAATCAAGAACACAGGAGCAGAATTAGATTTTTCAGGACAAGCCCATTGGGAATTATCAACAATCCAGATGTTCTTGGACATCTGCACTTACCAGTGTTCTTAGGACTTGGTACTGGCCACTGAGTTTAGCTATATGGAAAATATTTTTGAGGATGAGAATCAGAGGCAACAGAAGGTGACCAGAAGGCACCATTTTTGGGTCAATGGTGCATTTTATCAGGTGATAAAATGCACCATTGACCCAAAAATTATTTTAATGAAAACAAAGTCACCTTCTGGTGCCTTTTTAATCATGATAGGTAGAATTTACAAAAAAAAATATTGTCCCAAGATTCCCATTCTGATTCCCAGAAATGTTAATATTATGAGATTTCAAGCCTATAGATATGATATATCATATTACAAAAGGACTTTGCAGATGTGATTAAGGTTACTAATCAGTTGATCTTAATATAGGAAGTCATTCTAGATTATCTAGGTGAGCTGAATCTAATCAATATGTCCTTAAAAGCCGAGTTTTCTCTGGTTAGTGACAAAAAGGAGAACTCAGAGAGATTTGAAGTACTAGGAGGATAGGAAGTGTCATTGCTGAGACAGAGGAGACCATGTGACAAAAAATGCAGGAGGCCTCTGGAAGCTGAGAACAGATTCTCCCTGATAGTCAGCAAGGGAACAAAGACCTCAGTTTCAAAACCACAAAGAATTAGATTCAACCTAAAACGTGAATGAGTGAATTCTTTCCCAGATTCTCAAGATAAGAACTCAGTCCAGCAGATACCCTAACTTGGCCTTTTGATACCCTAAGCAGAAAGCCAAGTGGAGCTCATCCTGATTTCTGGCTTATAAAAATGTATGATAATTAAAGTGTATACTTTTAAGTTGCTAATTTGAAAGTGTGGTAATTAGTTATTTAAAAGGAAAATTGATAAAACTTAGAGAACCAAGTGAAGCATAAATAGATTTTTCAGAAATAGGTGCTTCCTAAATCCCAGTCTATTTTTAAGCATTTTTAAATGAACCTTTTTTTTTTTTTTGTCTAATTCTACCAAAGCATATCTGCATGTTTTGCTTAATATTTGTTGCTAGAATCTTTTCTCTACTGTAAGATCTTTTCTTGACCCTGACTACATGAAAAACATACAGAGAGTGAGAAGAATTCTATATTGGAGAGCATTTTGAGAAACAGTCCCAATTCCATATCTGTCACTCCTTTTTTTCTCGCTTTTCCTTCATAAACTATTTATTACTCTCAACTTATTCTATAGAAACCTTTCTGCTTTTATTCTCTACAGTGAGAATAAGTGAGAAATCCCCATCCAAGCCACTCTCCCTTAGAAAGGAAGGTCACTTTCTCACATTCCAGACCTAATCAATCTATAGGAAATACTTAGTACATGTTGTCACTCTGCTTTTGCACCAATGCATTATGCCATTAAATCAATAAATTTATTGATTTGGGTATTTGGCATGTTTCTCGTTTTATCCAAGTGAGCTTCAGATTCTATCAATAGTACTTCAGGCATCTCCTAGCTCTATACACATGGCACACTAGATGATATTGACTTCACATTTTTTACCACATTCTTCCACTACTGCCATCTTTCACTTTTCAGCATTAAAATCACACACACACACACAAACTCAACTTCCTAAAGTGAATAGGAAAATAATATAATCAAAATATGTCATTGTATGACTAATGTATTTAAAAAAGAACTACATCTAAGAGTAGAGATCTATTTTTGGAGAGATTATAGGTCATGTGACAAAAAAAAAAAGTACACAGGAATTTGAGGAAATGGCTTGGTGTAGCCATCCTAGGAACGTAATAAGAAAGCTTTCCAGTTACTGTCTATACCTCCATCTGTTTTAATAACAAGGGGAGGGAATAATATAAATGATTGAGCTTTGTGTGTGGCATATTGGGCTTTTTTTTTTTTCCCCTTTCTGTCATCAAGATTGGGTTCTAAGAAAGTAAATACACATGAATCTAATATGAGAGCTTAAGGGCAATTACTCTAAACTTAAATATTCAACCTTTAGTGCCATTTGCCATGCAGATGTTACCCCTCTTCTTTTATCCAAGAGTGGATCTAGGTGACTACTTTGCTAACAATGGTTATGTGGTGTGTTTCTTCTTACTCTAAGAAGCTTATGTCAGTTTCCACCCCCCATAAATTTGGAAAATGCTACAGAGACCTCCTGCAGGAAAACAGTTGAACTGTACTTACCCAGAGAGAAAGATCCGGATGACTGCATAAAATATGTCTGGATCTACATAATCTGGAGGAGCAATCAAAATGTGAACTTTACTACAGGCGAAAAAAGCAATTGGTTTCATGTGCATGGGCCCTGCTGAGCTCCTGGGGCTGCTTCTCTATCTGATCTGCATGGAAACCTGGAATGAAAGCTACAAGCAAGAGGTGGATGGAATGTTCTCTTCTATAATTGTCCTCATTGGCGCTTGCAGAACTTTTAAACTATTCCAAATGCTGCCCTTTTCCATTTGTGGTACTTCCCCTTTTTCTACTTAACCACAACAAAAAGAGAGGTCAAGGCCATTTTTAAAAAAATTAATAATTTAAACAGACATGATGTTTGAGAGAAGTGGAAAGGAGAAAGAATTACCATTCACAAGAAAGGAAAACTAAAGCCATCTCTGCTCAAGTGGAGTTCTATATAGCCAACAAAGGACAGAGGAGTGGAGAGTCCCTTGTCTGGCTGAGGATTGCCACACCAGGTCAAATACAGATTCATTTAGCTCCACATTTAGCTTCATTCATTAAGCTGTGCAGCTATTTTGAATCTAAGCCAATGCTTATGGGTAATTGCTTTCACTAAATAATAAAAATTATATATAAGGAAGCAAGTTTTCATATTTGTAAATTTCTTATAATCAACTTTTGAGGGTTGTTCTCTTTCTTCATCTAATGGGGTCCCTCTGTAACTAAGCATGCTCCTATCTCTCTTGGTTTCTAAGAGGGGAAAAACACACATCTCTTTTTTATGATACCTAAATAGTGACATCTCTATACCATCAGTTTTTCTTTTGCTACCATCACACCTACTCTCTGGTCCTCCATCTCTTGTTTTTTTTTTTTTTTTCTAAAGTCTTATGACTAGGGTAACTAATGTCTTCCTTCAGCCTTGGGGTTTCCCAGTGCTCCTGAATGGTGTTATAGTCTCTCATTCTTCTGTGACAATACTCTCCTGGACTTTTTTACTGGGTGATATTTCTGGGTCTTACCCATTTGGTGCTCTTTGCCTCCCCCCCAAAAAAAATATTAAGTACACATTTTTCAAAATCAATAATGATTAATTAATTTTCACCCAACTTACTATATTTAATGAGGAAAAATCAAATGATCATTTCAATAGATGTGAAATGATTTTGATGTAAAACATTTCAATGTGCATGAAAAAAAATCCATTCATGGTAAAAAAAAAAAAAAAAGTAAAGTGAGTTAGCTAATTAGGAATAGTAGTACTCATCCTTGAACTGATAAAAGGAATCCATAAGAAGTCTTCAGTATACATTATACTTAATATTAAAAGATAAAAAAGTAAGTATTTTAAAATGTGAAACAAAACAAGGATCAGCATTTCCATTCAATACTGTATTGGGAGTCTTAGCAAGAAGAACGAGAAACAAAATTAAACAGAAATAAAAGTTATAAGTATTGTAAATAAAGAAAAAAGAGAACATTATTCTCAAATGATTTCTCTAGAAAACCCAAATAATCTCTACATAATTATCACAATGAATAAGAGTGTTTATCAAGGTGCTAGATTTAAGGTTAATGTTCAAAGGAGTGATATCATTATCATAGTGGGATTGTCTTTTGCCAATGAATGCTGATTTAGATAGTCACCCATAGACAAGAGAGCATTTGTGGAAGTCCAGTTCAGCAAAGCCCCAACACACCACTACAGTAAAATAATAATAATAATAATAATAATAATAATTTGAGGATATTGAATGCACTAAAGGGAGTAAGAAGAACATTTCACTTTACCTACATCACGCTCTCCACAGGAGACATAGCTCAGAACCAACAGAGAATTTGTTGTCCCGCAAGAAAAAGTGAGAGCATTTGAGTGCCCAGCTTCCCCAGATACACGGAATGCATCCAGAGACTCACTTCTTTCTCACCATATCCAGAATACTAAGGGTGGGTGGGGAGATAAAGTGTAGCTGTGAGAGTGCCAGAGAGGGTTTTTGGAGGGCGGTAAAGGGATGCAGATCTTACTGACCATCTCACAGACTCCCACAAGACACCCTCCCAGGAGCTGATGGGAATGCTGAGCTTGCAGATCCCCCAACTGGCCTCTGAGCTCCCTTAGTGTTCAAGGTGCCTTACCCACATGCCACACACCCTCCTATGGCCACTTCTTTATGTGCCTAGCTGAGGAAGAAAAGAGTGAGCCTTTGTGAAGAAAGAACAAAGTAGGAAGCAGCGTGCTCCCTGATTTCAAACTATAATACAAATCTATAGTAATCAAAACAACAAGGCCCAGCTGTCCTGGCTCAGTGGTTAAGCATCTGCCTATGAATAGGAGGTTATGGTTTGATTCCTGGTCATGGTATATGTCTGGTTGAGGGCTTGAAACCCAGTGTGGGGCATGCAGGAGGCACCAGATCAGTGATTCTCTCTCATCATCTATGTTTCTATCTCTCTCTCCCTCTCCCTCTCCCTTCCTCTCTTAAATCAATAAAAATATTTAAAAACAAACAAATTTGGAGTTGGCATAAAAAGATACACAGATCAATAGAACAGGATTGAGAGCCCAGAAATAACTCTGTCACACATATATGGACAATTTGTATAGGGCAAAGAAATCAAGAACATACCATAGAGAAAAGACAATCTCTTCAATAAATGGTGTTGGAAAACTGGATAGCTACACAGAGAAGAATGAAATTAGACCACTATCTTAAACCATACTCAAAAATTAACTCAAAATGGATTAAAGACTTGAATGCAATACCTGTAACCATAAAATTCATAGAAGAAAACAAAAGCAGGAGGTCTCTGACATAGGCCTTAGCAATATTTTAGTCTGAATTCAGAGGCAAGGGAAACAAAAGCAACAATTTAAAAAATGGGACTGCATCAAACTAAAAAGTTTCTGCATAAAAAGGCAACCTACTGATGAGAAAAGATATTTGCAAATCATGTGTCTCTTAAAGAGTTACTATTCAAAATATATGAAGAACTCTTACAACTCAACAACAAAAAGCAAATATCCCATTTTAAAAAGGTCAAAGGATCTAAATAAATATTTTACAAAGAAGATATACATATGGCACAGGAAAAGATGTTTAATACCACTACTTATTAAATAAATATGAATTAAAACATGATGAGATATATCACCTTACACCTGCTGGCACATTTCTGGGTCTTAACCTTAAATCATTGTCAAAAATATAAGAAACAAGTTGTTAGAAAAGATGTGTAGAAAAAGGAAATCTGATACACTATTGGAAGGAATGTAAATTGGTACAGCCACTGTGGAAAGAGTGTGGAGATTACTCAAACATTTAAGAATAGAACTGCCATATGATCCAGCTATTCCATTTCTGGGTATTCATATAAAAAATAAAATCACTGATTTGAAAAGATATATGCACTACTATGTTCATGGCAGCATCCTATCTAATAAAGAGGGAGTATGCTAATTAATTGCCACACCCTCAAAGATGGCAGCGCCCACAGCCATAAGATAGTGGTGCCCTGTTCTCTCAGCCCCACTGGGGCAGCAGGCACGCAGGCAGGCCCGGTCTTGCCGCATGCCTGTCTTCAGAGTCCCCCAATCCCCTCTGCACCACCAGCTGCCCAGGACTGCCCAAGGCTCAAGTAATCAGGGCCCACTGAGGCTTGCACTGCCAACAGTGGGCAATAGCAGAGGTGTGATAAAGCATTGCCCCCCCCCTCGCCCCCTGCTGATCTCTGGGTCACCTCCCATCCCTGAGGGCTCCCGGACTGTGAAGGGCAGGCCAGGCTGAGGGACTGCCCCCACTCCAGTGCATGAATTTTCATGCTTCAGGCCTCTAGTGTATATATGTATATATATATTACTCAACATAAAAATGAATGAAATCTTGCTATTTGCAACAACACGAGGGTATTAGAGGGTATTATGCTAACTGAATAAGTCAGATGAGGAAAGACAAGTACCATATGATTTCATACATATTAGAATCCAAACAAAACAAAACAAATGTACAAACAAAACCAAACAAACCCATAGATACAGAGAACAGACTGGTGGTTAACAGAGGTTGAGGCTTGGGAGAAGTAGGGGAAGGGAATTGGTTGCATGGTGATTGTATATTAACCAGACTTTTGGTGCAGACCATTTTGTAGTATATACAGATGTGAAATTATGATGTTATACATCTGAAACATGTGATGTTATGTACCAATTTTACTTAAAGAACAACACACACACACACACACACACACACACACACACACACACACACACAATACTCTTTCAAGGTTCTTCTGATAGAGGAAGTTGAAGAGCTGTCTTGAAATTGAACGTAGTCACCTGAATAAAATGTAACTAACCACAGGACTGGTGAGCCACTAAATTAGCTACACCTATGAAACCTCATCTCTGCACTAAGGAGACTAGAGCAATCAATCTCTCCAGGATCCACTTGAGAAAAAAAGGCCAAAAGGGGCATAAGTGAGCATAAGGACACATTGCAGTATCCTGACATTGCTGGACGGAATGTACACAACCTTTGCTGTTGTTTTTTGCCTCACCCCCTCCTTCCAAACTTCATGCAAGATCTCAACATGCAAAGAAATATATGGCTACTGAAGAGAGCAAACTACCCTAACCACAATAGAATACTAAAAAAAGACAAAACCACAGAACATCTATGCAAATTGAGAGATCATTCTCCAATAGTTAAAAAAAGCAAGGAGTTTCCATAAAACAAAGCTAATACACTAGCTCCATCTAGTGGATGTTGCCCAGCCCTACCCCGAGCAGAACCCTCAGCCTACAGCAGCCCCATACCGTGCATTTGTCCTAAGGTTCTGGTGATGTCCTGAATGGAGAGTGTCAGCCGCTGCAGGGCTTGCAGCAGGGAGTCCTGGCTGGACTGCAGCATGGCATTCATTGCTTCAACAAGTGCCTGAGGAGAAGGTTCATTCACTCAGTCTATAAGCATTCTCATAAGGCCCGCTGAAGTGGAGTGAGCTGAGAATCAGAGCTATGGAAATCAGGAAGGGCGCCCTTCTGACTGCTGGACTGTTTTCCAGTGCCCCCTTGAACTCAATTTGCTGTGAGGTCTGCTGGAGAGGATAACTTTTCTGGGCATCTCCCATATAGATCCTTGGACATATTTTTCTAGATCTTTCCATTGATTGCTACTTGCTATAATGCTATCCTTTTTCTCCTTCCTTCTTGTGTATTTATCACAATGTCTGTCTGTATCTTGAATTAGGAGACCATCACCCCTGAGCTCTGTTTTGATAAAACCAGGCAGATTCTATAGAGCCCACAGAGCCCCCAGCTCCAGAGGCCTTTCTGTCCTGAAGCTTATCTAGCAGTCTCTACCTTATCTGAGCTATATTTTAAAGACCGATATTTCACTTTGTACCTTTCAATGGACTAAACACATTGATGAGAAGTAAAATAACTGTATAGTTTTACTTTTGAGAATGTTATATAATACTTACACTGGGATTGGTGACACAGTAAAGATTTAAAATATACTCACCAGGGAAGGTGGTAAGGAAAGACATAAACTTAACTGATAATCTTCAGGCAAGGCATGGATTCTCTAGCTGATCACCTGCTGCTCCACTATCTTTATATTTATATTTTAGAGAGGAAGGAGAGGGAGAGAGAGATAGAAACATCGATGATGAGAGAGAATCATTGATTGGCTGCCTCCTGCATGCCCCTCACCGGGGATCCAGCCTGCAACCCTGGCATGTGGCCTGACCAGGAATCAAACTGTGACCTACTGGTTCATAGATCAGTGCTCAACCACTGAGCCACATCAGTTGGACTGTCTTTTTTTAAAATATTATTTATTATTATCTTTATTGATTTTAGAGACAGAGGAAGGGAGAGGAATAGAAACATTCATTGGCTGCTTTTTATAGGCTCCCTAATGGGGATCCTGCCCACAACCAAGGCATGTGGCCCTAACATGAATCAACCAATGGCTTCCTGGTTCATGGGTCTATGCTCAACCATTGAGTCACACCAGCTGGGCTCCACTGGCATTTGTCTTACTGAACTTGACCTTTCTGTAAGCTGCCTGGACACAGAAGGCTAGGTCATCTCAGTGATGGTTCTTTTCCTCTGAGCCTTTACATAGCTGTCCTCGCTACCACAAATATGTCTGTGTGTCTGTTTGCCTTTGTCTGTCACTCGTCTCTCTCTGCTTAACTCTGTATATAGCTCAGGTTTTTAACTTTAGTTATCATTTCCCCTGGGAAGTTTTGCCTGACCCTTCAGGTCTGAATTAAGTGTTAGATTTCTTTTTATAAAACACTGCTTTTTTTTTTTATTATTACCCTATACATCAACCCATCTTTCCCCACCATATCAGGAGCTTTTCTGGGGGCCAGAACAATGTCAGTCTTGTTCCCCCATATATTTCTTTGTCTAGAACAATGCTTGTTGTTGAATGGACAAATGATCAATGCCATGTTTTATAAGATTTGGGAGAAGCGAGTATCAATATGGGCTAGAGCATGACCTCTTCCCTCAGATACAAAACAGCAGGTTAAGGCCTATGCTCATCTATATTGATTAATTCATGGAAGTAAAGCTCAGACTGATTTCTCATTGAGGAAAACAAAACAAACAAAAAGAAAGTGCTGTGGGTGAAGGATACCTTAATCCCAGGTACGGCTGCTTTCTCTACCAAAACAGTCACCAGTATAAAACCACGCAGGCTTTCTCCCCCAGGCAATGAGAAAATGGTGTCCAAGTTCCTTGGGAAGGAGATGACCATATGGTTAGAGAGACATGGACACCATGAGTGTGCACAGCCCCAGGTCCCCTCAGAATTAGACAACTGTAAGCACAGGGCAGAATCGGTGAACACTTCTCTCCACAGGAAAGCCCCAAGGATGAGCATCTCCCTTCAGCAACATTCAGGAAGGGAAGTGAACAGATCTTCTACTCAAGTCCAAGTTCACCTGCTCTGAGGACTCTCAGTCTCCAGCATGGCCCTGATGGCCCCAGCTCCTCCCCCCAATGGAACAGCTGAAGCCTGAGTGGGCAGGTCATTCTGATTCTTCTCAGGACCAATCTATGGCCCATCACACCATTCCTGTCAGGAGCATGGAGTCTTAGAGCTACAGTGACCACAGGTATCAGCCAATCCTTTGCTCCTTGTTTTGGTTGTTATTGTTTTTGTAGATATGACCCAAAGAAACAAACACCTTGCTCAAGATCACTTTGCTGGTTAGTCACAGGACCAGGTGGGGAATAGTTTCATAACTCACACTAATGATCTTTCTAAACAATAATTTTTGTGCTGCTTTGTAGAATAGGGTGAGATCTAGAAGACTGTACTGAAGAATCACTTTCAAATGACCTGTGACCATATGGATTCAAATATCCCAGATACAGAGCCAATTTACAAAACTTAAAAACTTTATTCCATAAATCACTCCTGCTTCTAATAGTTTAAGCATGAGAAGAAAGGAAAACAAACACAAAATAAAACAGTCAAGAATAACATTGTTCTAGCAGTTACATTAGTGTAAGAAAGGGTGTCTTCACCCCTCCATCCCTCAATTTCCTGAGCTACAGCTTTTATACCAGATCCCTTTATTGAACTAAGGTTTGGTGATGGAAGAGGCAATGTCAATCAAGTTAGAAGCCAATTCTGCTCTCCAGAGAGAGAATAGCCTAAGGATGTCTGAGCCAGACCTGCCTCAAGAGTTGCAATCCAGGTCACATAATATTACAAAGGAATTCTTCTGTAGCTATGGCAACTAATGCCTGTAATTTGCCCTTCATAAAAGTTATGGTGAAATGAGAGATCTTTTCCAAATCATTAAAGACCTAGAGGGCTGGTGCACAAAATTTGTGCATGAGGGGAAGATGGGGGGCCCTCAGCCCAGCCTGCACCCTCTTCAATCTAGGACTCCTTGGGGGATGTCCAACTGCTGGTTTAGGCCCGATCCCTGGGCCTAAACCAGCAGTCAGACATCCCTCGCACAATCCTGGACCACTAGCTGGCTCCTAATGGCTCACCTGCCTGCCTGCCTGGTCGCTACTAATTGCTCCCCACCCCCCCTCCCCTGCTGGCCTGGTTGCCCCTAACTGTCCCACACTGCCATCCAGGTTGCCTCCATCTGTCCCCTCTTTGCCTTCCTGGTTACCCCTAACTGGACCCCCTCCTACCATTCTGGTCAACCCTAACTGCTCCCCACTGACGGCCTAATTGCCCCCAACTGCCCTTGCCACTGGCCTAGTTGCCCCTCACTTCCCCTCCTCCCCGCCAGACTAATTGCCCCAACTTAACCCCTTGTCGGCTTAGTCACCCCCAACCACCCCTCTCTGGTCACCCCTAACTGCCCCCAGCTGCTGGCCTTATTGCCCCTGACTGCTCCCTCTGCTGGCCTGGTAGTCCCTAACTGCCCACCCCACTGGCCTGGTTGCCCCTAACTGACCCCTGCCGGCCTGGTCAACTCTTACTCCCTCTCTCCCCCTTTTGCTGGCCTGGTCACACCCAACTGCTCCCTTCTGCCAGCCTGGTCATCCCTAACACCCCCCCCCCCACACACACACACACAAACACACACATACACACACACCAGCCTGGTTGCCTCCAACTGCCCCCCCCTACTGGCCTGGTTGTCCCTCACAGCTCCCCCTCCCCCCCACTGACCTGGTTGCCCCATTCAGCCTGCTTGTTCAGTCATTAGGTCGTTTCTCACTAACCCCCCTGCCAGCCTGGTTGTAGGCAGCCATTTTGTGAGGGTTAATTTGGATATTACCTCTTTATAGGATTGGTAAAGCTTTTTCCTTGCATGCATTTGTATATAGCTTGTATACTATACATACAATTTGATATGCTTCTTTCTTGTTTTGCTGTAATCTCTTTTTTTATTTTAATTTCTTTATTGATTACAGTGTTACATATGTGTCCTTATTCCCCCATTTGCTGTAATCTTTTAAAGTTAGCATAAATTCTCAAGTGATTGAAAGATTTCTGAGAACTTACCTGATGTCCAGGGGCCTCGTAAAATTTCAATCATTGACAATCACAAACAACAAAAGAAAATAAAAGAATAAATCAGTTTGTAAACAGACATCCTTCAAAGGACACATGTATACAGGCATGCACTCACACCCACATAGGCTATGACTAGACAACAAAAAGCGAGCCAAATCTCAACTCTTGTATCAGCCCCAGAACATTTAACTTGTAGTAGTATGATAAATCATCTTGCTCCTTTTATATTTTTGCAATTATCACAAACCTAATTTTTGTTGTAAATATGCTATTCTAAATCACCTTTTAATATCTACTTTAGACCAAGTTCCAACCTTTCACCAAGCTTTTTCCTGGTTTTTAAAGTCTGCAATAATGTAATTTCTTTGAAATTCTGAAAGGTTTACTGCTTGTGTCACTCTGACATTTGTCATATACTGTTTTGTTTCGTTATTTAACCACTTAAATAGCTGTACTTTGCTTTCATTTCTTCATTGTACTTTGTGTTGTGTGAGGCATATTAAGAGAGACACCAAAAAAAATTTCCAAGAAAAACGAAGACTAAATCTGGGGTTGTTTCTGCCTCTCTGGAATTAAACTAGCCTTGCATTCTCATCCACTGAGCAATTAGCTTTTTGTTGTTGTTTTTTTTACTTTAACATCCTGGTCAAGTCACCTTTTCCTCTTTAACTTTCCCCAGTCCTCTCTTTCTCTTTGAATCAGAGATTCTGTTTATTATTAAATATTTAATGTCTTGAACAGAATAATTTTCTCACATCCATTTATTTTTTTCTTTCTGTCCAAATTCTGAGGCAGATTCAATACCTTCCCATGGGAATATTGGTCACCAATTTTTGTTATTAAAGCAGATCTTGTCAAAGATTATAATTAATAATTTAGAAAAATTCCAGGGCTCAGAAGTCCTTACACAGATAAGATGGCACACATAAATTAGTCTTAAGAGCTATGTTTTTTATTAAGCTACTAGTGTCCCAGTGCATGGATCCATGCACATTGAAATAAAATTAATTAGGAGAAATATTCATGAGATGATTACATTACTGCAAAACATTATATGTCAAACTAGTAGTGGATATATAATTTTTGCACAGGGGGGTGGGGAGGAGGTTAGCATTTAATTTTAGCATTATAAAATTAAAACATACATGCAATTGACAACAGCAAGAGTTTTATATGTATCGTGCATGTGCAACTCAATGTTTATTTTTAAATTGCAAATGCATGTCATATATATCAGCTGGTTGGTCAGTTGGTCGGTTGGATGGATGGACAGTTGGTCACTTAGCCATATATATATATATTCTTTATTTAATCATTTAAAAATATTTTGCCGGGTCGGGTGCGGCCAGGCCCGGAGCAGCGGCTGCCGGGCTGGGAGCGGCCAGGCCCGGGGGAGCAGCCGGGTCGGGTGCGGCCAGGCCCGGAGCAGCGGCTGCCGGGCTGGGAGCGGCCAGGCCCGGGGGAGCAGGCGGGTCGGGTGCGGCCAGGCCCGGAGCAGCGGCTGCCGGGCTGGGAGCGGCCAGGCCCGGGGGAGCAGGCGGGTCGGGTGCGGCCAGGCCCGGAGCAGCGGCTGCCGGGCTGGGAGCGGCCAGGCCCGGGGGAGCAGGCGGGTCGGGTGCGGCCAGGCCCGGAGCAGCGGCTGCCGGGCTGGGAGCGGCCAGGCCCGGGGGAGCAGGCGGGGCTGGTGCGGCCAGGCCCGGAGCAGCGGCTGCCGGGCTGGGAGCGGCCAGGCCCGGAGCAGGCGGGTCGGGTGTGGCCAGGCCCGGAGCAGCGGCTGCCGGGCTGGGAGCGGCCAGGCCCGGGGGAGCAGCCGGGTCGGGTGCGGCCAGGCCCGGAGCAGCGGCTGCTGGGCTGGGAGCGGCCAGGCCCGGAGCAGCCGGGTCGGGTGCGGCCAGGCCCGGAGCAGCGGCTGCCAGGCTGGGAGCGGCCAGGCCCGGAGCAGCAGCAGCCAAGTCCAGAGCAACTAGGTCGGGAGCGGCAGTGACCAGACCCGGAGCAGCTGGTTGTGGAATGAACCAGAGCAACAGAGGCCAGGCCCTGAGCAGCCAGGCCCAGAACAGCTCGCTCCTTGCCTGCCCCTGCCCCACAGCTGCTTTTCAGTGGATAGAATTTTCAGACATGGCTGGAAACTTTCGTGGGAACTTGAGGGTCTGCTGAATCAAGTGATGAAGGCTTAGATCTGGATGTGTTGAGTTAGTTTAGGACTGGGGTGTTGATCTGTGAGTGCCTTGGGTGGGGCCTGGATGAGGCTGGTGGACCTATTGGGAAATGTCTTTTGTGTGAAGTGTATCATTGGGCATGTGGAGGTATTATTGATATGAGAAAATGCTAAGTAACTGATTTACTATCTGAAAAGGTTTTTACTATTGGGGAAATTGAGGGAAGAAGAGACTGAACATAAACTGCACCTATGGATGAGGACAATGGGGGATGGGGAGGGGGCAGAGGGTGGGGTGGGAACCTGGTGGAGGGAGGAAGAAATGAGGAACCTTTGTAATAATATGAACAATAAAGATTGATTTAAAAAAAAAATTAAAAAAAATATTTTAATTGATTTTTAGAGAGAGAGGGAGGTAGATATATCCATTTCTTGTTACACTTATTTATGCCTTAATTGATTCAAAGATCAAACCTGCAACCTGGGAATATTAAAATGATGCTCTGATCAACTGAGCTAATTAAGGGCCTATACACACTTAATTCTTTAAAAAAGATTCCCATAATCTTTGGCAATCCTATATTTACCCACACCCTTATACTAAGGAAGTGTTCCTCACATCTAACTTAAATGTCCTTTTAGCTATTTTCATAAGTCACAAAAGTGCTGAAATAAATTTTTATCTATGGCTGAAATAAATTTGGCTGTAAAGATAAATTCAAAGGGAAACTTATTTAAATAACCATGGACACAGACAATAGTGTGGTGAAGTCCTAGGGTGGGTGTTGGGAGCAGACTAGAAGGGGCCAATGGGAAAAAAGGAGGCATAAGTAATACTTTCAACAATAAATATTTTTTTACATGTTTCACCACTTCCACCCCATTCTATTTATTGAAATTTCTTGTTTTTAAAAACCTCTTCAAGTTTTCTTTAGATAAATGCCAATATCCTCAAACTAAACTGTTGAAAGAATGATGCTAGTTAGTAGGGATAGCATTATTAATCAAATAAATATGTTTTTATTAATTTCAGAGAGTAAGGGAGAGATTTATAGAGTTAGAACATGAGAGAGATCACTGTTCTGCTGCCTCCTGTGATCGAGCCCTCAACCCAGGCATATACCCTGACCAGGAATTGAACCCTGACCTCTTGGTCCATAGGTCAATGCTCAACCTCTGAGCCACGCTGGCTGGGCAATTAAAATTTTAATATCTAGAGTACCTACTCTCAATTCATACATAATCATTCATTTGTAATCTCTATATAAAGAGTAGTTACTGCATTCCTGGTCCTAACTTGACTTGTATAGAGGACATGTTAGGGAATGATTGAAACCTGAATATGCAGGAGCTTTAAGGTTGGATTGAGAACTGCAAATTTGATATGGAAGCAAACAAATAAAAGTGGTCTGCACCAATGCAGTCAACGAGGGTTGAGAGGAAATTTCTTGGGAACCTGTGGTTTTTGAACATGTATTCAAGTTCATCTCTTTTTTGCAACCATTTGGCAGACAATAAATATGAACACCTTTAATCACAAAATAGCTGAACAAACCTGGAGCTTCCTAGCAGGTCACAAGACTGTCCATTACTCTGTTTCCATCTGTTCAAGTCCAAAGCTCTCCCCTTTTCTTACCTTTCAGAATTCCTTGTAGTCCAATTTGTCAACACCAAATCTGCATGGACCAGAATAGGTGGGAGCCCCAAGTCCCTGGAGACTTCCACAAAGGGAAGGGCAAGGTTTCTTGGCAGAACCTATCAGATATAAATCCCGACAATGAGCACATCCTAGAAAGAGTGAAGCAGGGGAAAGAAAAACTTGCTTCTGCCTTTGTTTTTCCCTATAACATTTATAAATAAACTTGGGATAGAATTGTTTCTTAGGTAGAAGCAACACAGAGCTTTAAATAGTGATAAAATGCAAACGTAGCTCAGCTTCCCTCAAGAGGCAGGAGATGAGGAGGACAGTGCAGAAGAGAGGTGTCTACTTAGCTGAAAGTCAGAGAAGACACCAAAAAAGTAAGCTATAGGATTTGAGGCTGGAGAGTAGGAGGCTCACAGGCCCTGGAAATACATGGACCCTCCTCGAAGCTGGAGAGTCCATCACCTGTCACCCTTCTCTACCCCTTCCTTGATGTAGTATTATGGTTTGGAGAACAGGCGAGGGAGGAAAACCTAATTGGGATGTTCTTTTGTGGGCCTAGATATCAAACTTTCTAACAATAGACATATACTTTCATAGAAGTTATATGTACTGACATTTATTTGACTTTTATTAATATTTATTTTAATATTAAATTATTCTTGGGCCATAGGTTTTGTCTCCCATTTCTTCTGGGATGTGCTTTTGTTTGTGCAGTCTCCTCTTCTGGTTTAGAAACAATCTGCTCTTGTTCAATAAGAATCCTTCCCATGTGGCAGGGAGAGCTCTTATGGAGGCCCATCACTCACGGGCTCTGTGGGTTCTGCGCTGCATCTTGGGAGCTCTGTTCCCCTAGATTTTCTCAATGACCAGAGAACTGCTAGAAAACAAATCAGTTTCACTAAAAAGAGATGTTGGCAGGAAGCCAGGAAGGCTGGTCAACAACCTTAATTGCTCTAACCTCTCCCCCTTTAGTTGAGACATTGTTAGCTGAAGCAGCCTCCACCTTTTTGTCCCGTGTAAGTTTCTGTTATTTCCTGCCTAAGGGCTACATGTAAATTTCTGTTTATATTGTCTAAGATGTTTTCCCCAAAGCCTTAATAAAAGGGGATGGCAGGGCCAAAGCAATGACTAGTTCTCCCACTAGAGGTGGACTACCACCTGGCCCCCCATATCGCCAAATTGAATTTCTTCAAGTCTCAAGAGTCTTTTCATTTGTGTGCGGCCCTTCTCCAGAACCTGAACCCTGAATTGGAACTCTTTCCCCGTGGGTCTTTTCATGAAAGAGATTCCTACAGAGAACCTACATCTACACCCTTAAATTCAGCAGTTAGCCACAGACCCTGCTTTTAGTCCCACTGTGTGGCTGAGTACACCTGCCAACTCCACCATTGTAAGAATGGAATGGTACACATTGCTTCTGAAAGTGATAGCTACTTGGTGGCTTTCGGATATGCATACCCTTGATGGCCTGGGCAGTTTCACGAGTGTTCTTAAAGTGAACATGAAGATTTGAATCTCTTGATTGGACTTTGTGGAATTTTCTGGGCCAAGTGAACAGCAAACCATTTTCAGAGGTCACCTCAGGCCACTGCTTATGGGAAGAGTTATACTGACACTTTAAAAATCTGGAGCAACCCTCACTGGTTTAACCCAATGGATAGAGCATTGGCCTGCGGACTGAAGGGTACCAAATTTTATTCTGGTCAAGGGCAAATGCCAGGGTTACAGGCTCAATCCCAGCAGGGGGCATGCAGGAGGCAGCCTATTGATTTTTCTCTCATCATTGATGTTTCTATCTCTCTTCCATCTCCCTTTGTCTCTGAAATCAATAAAAATATATGTTTAAAAAATCTAAAGCAGCTCTATACTTTTCTTTGTCACTTTCTTTTTTATTATTATTATTATTACTATTATTCTCATAGGGAGTCTCAGGCACCTACTTGAAAGATAAGAGGTAGATTAACCAGGCAAACAAAACAAAACAGGTGTGGGCCATTCCCTTGACCATGGAATGCTGGAACATGAGCAGCTCCCTGATTTCTGGAAAAGATGTATTTATATAAAATGAAAGGCAGTCATCTTTCATACTATAATTAATGAAGCTTGGAGATTTCATGTCTCAATTTTGGGCTGAAACTGTAAAATGTTATGCAAAGACTCATAAGAGACTTACATGAATTATTAAGAGTCAAACCGATAATTGTTAGAGAACAAGCAGTTGTGTTGTAAATGTCAACATGTGCCTCTTAAGGAAGGAATTGACATTAATGAAATTAGACAGTGTGGAGTCTGGCCTTGGATTTTCCAGAAACTGGCCATCTGACCTTGGACTTTTATAGTCCTCAGCTGTCTGTAAAGTGGACACAGCTTAGATCTATCTACCTTATGGGACTGTGAAAATTGACCAAGACAATTGATGTATTAGCAGTACAAAATGCTGTCAAATGTGAGCTATCAGTAAGTTTTTCATGAGATTTCAAAGTTGCTTTCAAATGCAACTTTTCAAACATTCTTAAAAATGGGTGACAGGAAAAAAAAAAAGATTCAAAATGCAATAAAAGGGCTACCAGTTCTAAAAGGAAAAAAAAAATTAACCTCTCAGTCAGGAGGAAGATATTTTTCATTTGAATGGGCTCTTGGCTCTTTCTTAAACTGACACCCAAAGAAAAGAGCAAGAAAGAACACATTTTCCAGAAAAACACTGTGGCGCCAAGCAGACAGCATGTCCTAGGTATAGCAGTCCTGCCCATGAGCAGTCAGGCATCAATGTATCCTTTACCTCTGCAGGCTGTGCCTCTCCTTCCTGCCAGACATAGCCCATGGTAATTAAGCTCAGGACCAGGTGAGCCAGGCGCTGTTCCCTGTAACTCTTGAGAAACTGGCAGTTCAGGAGGGGCATCTGTTCAAGAGAAGTTCCAGAGATGATCAGTTGCAGGGAATGGAATGAGCACAAGGGTTCTGGGGCTTGAAGGGTTCTTTGGGTATAAGGCAAGGGTCCATTCCAGTGCATGAACCATGCACACCCATTTCTTCCCAATCCTAGGACTCAGCAGGATAAGAGGAGGTAATCCAAATGATATTGTTCTGCAAGTACCTATCAGCCCCACCCAATTCTCTAAATTGTGTCAGACACTGGTCTCCATCACTGAGGTGGCCACTTGGTTACCTAAAATAATTAAATTGACTAGATCATTTATTATATGGGAGTCCTCAATGGCAAGTTTTTGAAAAATAGATTTTAATTGATTTTAGAGAGAGAAAGAAGAGGGAGAGAGAGAGAGAAAAAAAAAATCTATCAATTGCATCCATTACACACTCCTAATTGGGACCAAACCTGAAATCTGGGCATGTTCCTTGACCTGGAATTAACCCTCAACCTTTTGGTGTACGGGATGATGCTCAACCAACTCAGCCACACTGGCCAGGCCTTCAGTAGCAGCTTTTACAATCACATCATTTAAAAAACAAAGCACCTCTGCTAAGCGTAGCACAGACTGATGAATCTCAGAGGGAAGGGGAGGGCAGTCAGGCAGAGAATAACCAAATAATTTAAAATCCATATATGCATGATCCATGGACACAAGCAACAGTATGGTGAAGATCTCAGGTGGGGCGGAAATTGGGCAGAGGAGGGGAGGGCAACATAGGAAAAATGGGGGATACTTGTAGTACTCTCAATAATAACTTTAAAAAAAAAAGATGCTGAAAATATTTTATTTTAAGTGGAAGGAACAGCCCTCCTTTTGACCAAGTCTTCTTACATTTTATTAGCAAAACTTCTTTTATCACTGAGAGAATGAATTGTTTATCTGATTGTCATTCCTATGTAATTTATGGGATATTCAAATAATAAGGTCTTATCTTATTACTTATTCAAATAATTGGGTTGTATCTTTCCCAAATACAAGCTTAAATCATAAAAAAAATAATAATGATGAATAAAAGCACATCTGCTTACTTGGTATCTAGCCCTAAAACAGCGCTGGGCTGTGGGCAGTAAGGTTTTCCCAGGCCTGTTGAGCTCCTGGGGTGACACCAAGGCTATTTGCCTGCTTAATCAGATGTCAGTTCCTGTTTGCTCTCCCTTTCCTTGCTGAGATCTAACCAGCTGTGTATCCTAACAAAAAGAGGCCCCATGGACTTAGGAATCTCGCCAAATTCCTAGAGGGGGGAGCTAAACTGGACCAAATGGTTGTCCAGCCCTTGTTTCGACACTTTCGGTGACCTTAGCTAGATCTCTGAACCTCTCCAGGCCCGTTTCCTTCCCGTGTTACACAGGCCGTGTCCTCATTGAAGGCAACACCCTGTGCAGAAGTTAGTCATCACTGACAGCAATACCCAAACAGATACGGTTAGCTTATTAGTTTTGCCTGGGCCGCCCCCCCTGTCTTGGCTGGACCCTGAGCTCCACTTCCAGGCACAGCACTCTCAGCTTGCCTCCTTCCATCACCTCCCCAACTCTAGACACAGCCTACCTAGATCTTCTCTGGTGCCCCTCTCCGGTCTGAAGAAACTCTTGAAGGAGCAGCGGTGGGTGTCTAGGGTTTCCTTTCAAGCTACAGACACCACCAAGTGAGCTGGGACCCACCCAAGCCCAAGGGCAGCTCAGGCTTGGGACTGTCCTACGGAATCCTTTTCTCTCCATCCACTAGGGGGCAGCCTTTCCTAACTTGTCTGCGTGTTCACTTCACTTATAAACTGGCTCTGAGATAAAATTGCTTACTTAAGTGTGTGTGTGTGTGTGTGTGTGTGTGTGTGTGTGTAGGATTGGGGGAGTGGGGTGCTGAGATGTTGCATTTCAACTGGAACCAGCATGAGAATTATAGCAGCATTTATTTATTAAATATAAAGACTCTTATTAAAGAGCATTTAAGTCACAATGCTAAAAACTTCTCATGCAGGGTGGTTTCCTTCCCCCAAACCCACAAAGTCAGAGAGGATAAGGTATTTGACAGAGCCTGGGGGCACTGAGCCAGGGTGCAATTTCCCTTCTGACCTCAGCCCTACTCTCTTATGTTAAGTACTGTCTGTCTCCATAAATAGGAAAGCCACATGTGCAATTGTGATTTTTCTAGAAGCCACATTTTGAAAGTAGAAAAAAAGAATAAGGTGAAATTTTATTTAAAATATATTTATTTTTGTCTAAGTCAATATATTTACAATATTATAAATGCAATATTTATAATATTATAAATTTTAAAATATAAAAATGTCTTAATATAAAAAATTTTAAAATCTCAATTAATTAATTCTATTAGAAAGACAATGGGGGTAGGTGGGCACCCAGACATCCTAGTGAAATTTCTTATTTTCTAGATTACAAAGGAAAATTTGCAAATTTTAATCATGAAATAAAAAAAACCTTGGTTACTTACAGAATAACATAGGACTATTTACAATAGTATTAAAAGACAATTTAATATCTATTTTAATTGCTATAATTAAAAAAACACCTGAAAATACCAACTACTACTGAGGACATGTACTGAAAGAGACTCTCATTCATGTTGCTGGTGGGAATTCAAAATGGTACAGCTACTTGGAAGACAGCTGGCAGATTCTTATAAAGTTAAACACAGATTTATCGCCTGACCCAACAATCCCACTCCCAAATATTTAGCCAACTAAACTGAAAACTTATGTTCGTGGAAAACCTTGTGTGTAAATATTTATAACAATTTTATTCATAATCCCCCAAACTGGAAACAACCAAGATGTACCTCACCAGGGGAATAGTTATACTGAGTACAATGGACTAAATGTTTGTGTTGTTCCCAAATTCATATTTCAAAACTCCTAACTTCCAACGTGATTAGGAGGTGGGGGTGATGAAGTGTATTAGTCAGGGTTTGCCCAAGAAACAGAACCAAAATGTGGCTAAAACAAATTAAGATGTAAAATACTGGATATTGAAGACTTACTAGAAAAAAGAGACTATTAAATAGCTTATTATTTCTCTATTGATATTGCATTTATAATATTGTAAATATATTGACTTAGACAAAAATAAATATATTTTAAATAAAATTTCACCTTATTCTTTTTTTCTACTTTCAAAATGTGGCTTCTAGAAAAATCACAATTGCACATGTGGCTTTCCTATTTATGGAGACAGACAGTAGTACTTAACATAAGAGAGTAGGGCTGAGGTCAGAAGGGAAATTGCACCCTGGCTCAGTGCCCCCAGGCTCTGTCAAATACCTTATCCTCTCTGACTTTGTGGGTTTGGGGGAAGGAAACCACCCTGCATGAGAAGTTTTTAGCATTGTGCCTTAAATGCTCTTTAATAAGAGTCTTAGAATAAATACTTAATAAATACTTTTAAGCATTTTTATATGCTTAAAACTTTCCTTTTCCCCCACCTACACTACTTTGTTTGTGAGAGCTCTATTTTATGAAATCTAATTATTCATTTCTCTTTTTCACATAGTTTTATTTTTCTGATATGGGTATTTCATTTTTGCTCTATGCTTTTACAAGTTTTCAAGGAATTCCCTAAATTACCTTTTTTCCCCTAATTTATTTGGGTTTTTACTACTGGTTTTGTTTGTTTCTTCCTTTGTTTTCCAACAATTTCTTTTATGTAGCAACTTCACTTATTTTTATGAAATAAATAATTACTTAGACATCAATTGATTCTTAATGATTTTAAATTAATTACATTAAAATTTAAAAGCATTGATCTCATATTTTGTTTTGGATTAGAAATCACTGGCTCTAAATGTCCCGTTTCTTCTTCCTGCTCTTTGACTTCCTCATTCTCTGCATATCTTTTGATAATTTGGGCTTATTTATTTGTGTTCCGGAGTGGAGGTGAGTTTTATTATGATTAGTAGCTGATATAGCTTCCCTAATAATGTTTCCAGTGCCCTAGCTTCCTGTGAACAAGTCAGTTGACCATAGTGTTTTATGGAAGGAGGGTGGAGGAGGGCAAATTTCCCTGGAAAAAGATTATTTATTATTATTATTATTAGTAGTAGTAGTAGTAGTAGTAGCTCAGTGCATGAAATTTGTGCACGGGGACGGAGTTGTCCTTTAGTCTGACCTACACCCTCTCTAATCTTGGAGGATGTCCTACTGCCAGCAGCTGCACATCCCTCTCACACTTTGCGACTGCTGGTTCCTAACTGCTCACCTGCCTGCCTGCCTGATTGTCCCTAACTGCTTCTGCCTGCCTGCCTGATTGTTCCCTAACCACTTCCCAGCAGATTGCTCCCTTGCTGGCCCGATCACCCTCAACTGTCCTCCCCTACTGGCCTGATGGCCCCCCAACTGCCCTCCCCTGATGGCACAATTTCCCACAATTGCCCTCCTCTGCTGCCACCTGCCTCCTCTGCTGGGACTGGTCTCCTTGTGCCATGTGGAGCCATGAGACCCCTAGGCTGCCAGGCCCCACTTCCACTGTGCATGTGGCCATCTTGTGGAGGCCATCTTGTGATGACATTGCATATGAGGACCACCTAGGCTTTTATTAGTATAGATTATTATTTGCAACCAAGATACAGATTTCTAAGAACAAGTGGTTGTCCTTAAAGTACTGTGAGATCCATACAGGAAATTCACTTATTATGTTATCTGTGCCAAGTAAAGGACACAAGAGGACAAATATTTGAGTATGTAGCTTCATGTGTGGTCCTAGAAACCATTATATTTGCTTCGCATAACTGATTTCCAAATTATTCAGTCTCAGCCTATGGTGGTAAAGTCTTTAAAATGGTCTTATCTTGTTAGATGTTTTGTGAGTAATTAGAAGAGTGTCTCCAGCAGCTGCCTTAACAAATGCACATAAAATGGGAAGCTAGCCGAAGCCGGGAGGCAGTGGTAGAACATCGGTCTGCAGACTGAAGGGTCCCAGGTTCGATTCTGGTCAAGGGCATGTACCTTGGTTGCCGGCACATCCCCGGTAGGGGGTGTGCAAGAGGCAGCTGGTCGATGTTTTTCCCTCTCATCGATGTTTCTAGCTCTCTATCTCTCTCCCTTTCTCTCTGCTAAAAATCAATAAAATATATATATTTTTTTAAAAAAATGGGAAGCTAAACAACAAAAATTGATTCTCCCACAATTATGAATCTGAAATTTTAGTGTTTGTAAGGTTGGTTCCTCTGAAGGCTATGGGGGAGGGGGGGAGAACCTGCTCCATTGTTTGTCTCTTAGTCTTTGGTGATTGCCAGCAACTCGGTGTAGCTTATAGATGCTAACTCCAATCTAAGCCTCTGTCTTCATGTGGTGTTCTTCTCTGTGTGCCTATGTCCACATTCCCTTCTTCTCACAATACCAGACTTAGTGGATTTAGCTTGCACCCTAATACAATATGACCTTGTCTACATCTGCAAAGACCTTATCCTAATATAGAAAAAAGCCAGGTGCCATCACGACCGAAATGACCAGATAGATGATGAAACAGCAGGCTAGGAAGCTGAGGGAGCAGGAGCTGTGGGCCCCTGGCAGCCCACTTGGGGCTCATGAGGTAGCTAAGTAGAACGATGGGCCCAAACAACCAAAGAACTGGTCTGGTTCTCAAGGCGTGGTGGGGTGGGGCCATGGAGGTCTAGGAGCCTCGTGGGGTGGAGGGCTGAGAGCAACGAGCTTCCCAGGGTGGTTGAGGCCAAGGAGTCTCATAGGGCGGGGGCTGTTAGCCTGGAGCTTTCCAGGGTGGCTGAGGCACAGAGGAGCATCGTGGGGAAAGGGTGGTGAGCGTAGAGCACTGAGGGGCGGTGGAGGCGAGGTGGAGGAGTGGGACAGGGGCTGTGAGCATGAAGCTTGTTGGATGGCTGAGGCAGAGGAGCATTACTGGGCAGGGGAGGCAGAGGAGTGGGGCGGAGCCTGTTAGAGTGGAGCTTCGAGGGGCAGCTGAGGAGGAGGAGGGTCGAAGGGTGTGGGTGGCTGAGGCCAAGGAGCCTCGTGGGGCCGGGGCTGTTAGCTTGGTGCTTATTGGGGCAGAAGCCACGGAGGTGGAGGAGCAATGCTGGGCAGTGGACATGGCCCTGATTGCAGCTAAGCCTGGAGACCTTAACCACACACCATGTAACCATGTGCTGGGCCTCTAGTGTCCAAATAATCTCACATTCACAGATTCCGAGGGAAGAGACACTATTCAGCCCAGTGGAAGTGTCAGGGGGTTAATTTCACTTTTGTGCTGAAGCTGTTTCCCCAACTCCCATGTTTTCAATGGACAAAAGTTAGCAGGACACTCCTGGCCTTTCCTCATTGACATTTAATATAGGAAGAACACCAGTTCAGCAAGTCCTTCCTTTTATTTATGGCAGTTTAACCCATTAAAAGCCTGAGGAAAACCTGGTACAAAGGACGGTGCAGTTCACAAGCTGAACTTCAGTGTGTCTTCCTACAAACTGTCTTAGACCCCCTCTTGATTTTGTGCCCTTAGTACTGAGATGGGAGAGAGAAGGCTCCAAGAGGTGGGGGGTGGGAGGGGGTCTTTTTATTGCTGTGGCTGAATTCTTGGCACGCGTCATATACACTCATTTGTAGATCACTATGATTTGCTTAATATGATATATATATATATATATATATAGAGAGAGAGAGAGAGAGAGATAGATAGATATATATAGATATATATATATATATATTTCAGAGAGGAAGGGAGTGGGAGAAGGAGAGCTGGAAACATCAATGATGAGAGAATCATTGAGAGGCAGCCTCCTGCATGCCCCATACTGAGAATACAGCCTGCAATCCCAGCCATCTGCCCTGACTGGGAATCAAATTATAACTTTCTGGTTCATAGGTCGATGCTCAAGTGCTGAGCTACACAAGTCGGGCTTATTTTCTTTTTTAAAAAACAAATACAGGTGGGGTACTTAATATGTGTTCCGGGAATTGTTTTATGCAGGATCTGGAAATTTTAAAGTAACCCAAGTGTCAAAACAGGAACAAGTCACTCAGCTCTTTAGTAAGGGTGAGAACATTGGGCCAATAAACTCAATGGCAATAATTGGTATCCTTAAGTGAACTCACCCAGTTCCACAATGCTGAGAAGAAAAAGCGGCATGAGGCCAGGACCGGTTTGGCTCAATGGATAGAGCATCGGCTTGGGGACTGAAGGGTCCCAGGTTCGATTCCGGTCAAGGGCATGTACCTTGGTTGCGGGCATATCCCCAGTAGGGGGTGTGCAAGAGGCAGTTGATTGATAACTCTCTCTCATGGATGTTTCTAACTCTCTATCTCTCTCCCTACCTCTCTGTACAAAATCAATAAAATATATATTAAAAAAAAAAGAAAAAGTGGCATGAGGATTTTAATAGGGTGGTGAGAAGGGGTGGAAAAGTAAAATAACTATTTATACATACCTCGTTCACGTGAGCTCGAAGCTGGTGACTCTCAATCAAGTCAGAAAGTTTGCTGGCAATTTTCATCCAGGGCCTATAATGATCTGGAAGTTCTTTCTGCATTCAAAATAGAATCATCTCAGTATTTTAGACCTCTCTGAGAAGTAGCTGGGAGTAGCTGCTGTCAGACTTCACTGTAAACTGGGCCCTGTGCTAAGCACTGCAGACACACAGAGAACTAATATATAATCCTTGTGCTTAAGGAACATAGGATCTACTAACAGGAAAAAAAAATGTAATCAGATATATAAAAAAATAATATACTTAATTACCAATGTGTGTATAAGCTTAAGAACTTGCAAAGAGGAAAATGTGCTTAATACTTTCAGCTGTTGTGGGCAGTTAGAGGGAAATATATGAAGAAATAGGCCAGTTGGGCCAGTTGTAGAATTTGAAAGTGACTTTTCTAGGTGGAGATTTGAAGATGGGAAGGCAGTAAAGAAGGGATTGTGGATAAACAGAGATAACAGTGTTTGGGGGACTATAAACAACCCAATGTTACTAGCATATAAAGATCAAGAGAAATGATAATAGAAGATGAGACTGCAAAATCAGATCAAACATGCTTTGTACACATTACATAAGAATGTTCTCTTTATGTAAGTTGATCTGATTTTTTTATTTTGAATTTTAGGAAGTTTGTTTTGTCTGTAGGATTTTAAGATATGCATTCAGGTTAGAAAGACTTTGAAATACTGACCAAGGACTAACTTAGCTGATAGAGAAATGAATTTGGAAAGGAGAAGGCATGTATTCAAAAGATATTTTGAAAGTAATAATGAGATGATGTGATGATTCAATCTTGAGGTGGGGATGCTAAAAGCAAGATGATTCCTAGCCCCATGGCACCCTTTATGTGCCCACTCTGGGCCCATGATGTAGCCAAGTAGAACATAGGCTGAATTTAAGCAACCCTGACTCAATTCCAGGAAGTGGCAAACTATACTTATTGCTATAATTAAACTTTTTAAAAATATATATTTTATTGATTTTTTACAGAGAGGAAGGGAGAGAGAGAGAGAGTTAGAAACATCAGTGAGAGAGAAACATCAATCAGCTGCCTCCTGCACACCCCCTACTGGGGATGTGCCTGCAACCAAGGTACATGCCCTTGATTGGAATCGAACTTGGGATCCTTGAGTCTGCAGGCTGAAGTGCTACCCACTGAGCCAAACTGGTTAGAGCTATACTTAAACTTTTATTGGCACACAGCTACACACTCATTTGCTTACAAATTGTCTATGGTTACTTTCTATTACAGCAGAAGAATTGGTAGTTGCAACGGTAGCTATTTGGTATCAAAGCTTAAAGTATTTACTATTTGGCTTCTTAGAAGAAAAAAATGTTTGCCAACTCTGATCTATCCCAGAGTCTGGGTCTCCTAAATGTTGTATTTCTGGGATAAGAAGGAAAGGAGGTGAGGATGATTTCATGTCTGTGAATTGAATGAGTTGGTGGGAATACACATTGAAACAGAAATGCAGGAGGAAGTCAAAGAGAGTGTGTAAAGATGGTGGATATCTTTTTTAGATAGATACAGCCTAAAATATATATTAAAACATTTGTATACTGGGCATTTGGACATAGAATTTGACATTCAGGAGATAATATTAAAAATACACAAATGGGAAGCATAACTGTAGAAATAATTCCACATGTGGTTAAAACCACAAAAATGTACAAGGTCATTGGGGAGAAGTTTCAAAGTGAAAGGAGAAGGAAGCCTAGAGCAACATAAAAGGGGTATTTATAAGAAAGAGGAACTAAATCCAGCAATATAAGTCAAAAGGGCATTTATAGATATTTAGTGAGTCAGAGGAGAATTACCCTTAGGGAAGTCATGACATGAGAGACTTTCACAAGGTAAGAAATTCAGAAGGTCAAATGCATCATTAAACTTAAAATAAGACTAGAGGCTTAGTGCACAAAATTTGTGCATGGGAGGGGATGTCCCTCAGCCTACCCTGCACCCTTTCCAATCTGGGACTCCTCGAGGATGTCTAACTGCCTGTTTAGGCCTGTTCCTACCGAAATTGACCACATGGGGACAGCTATCTTGTGTGTTGGAGTGATGGCCAATCTGCATATTTCTCTTTTATTAGGATAGAGGCCTGGTGCATGGGTGGGTGCCAACTTGTTTGCCCTGAAGGGTGTTCCAGATTAGGGTAGGGGTTCCTTGAGGCGTGGGTGGCCTGGGCGAGGAGCAGTGGTGGTTTGCAGGCCAGCCATGTCCCCTGGTGACCCAAGTGGAAACCCTGGTATCTGGGAATTATTTATCTTCTAAAATTGAAACTTTGTAGCCTTAAGTGGAGGCCAAGGCAGGCTAGGGCTGCAGAAGCTTGGCTTCCTCCATTGCCAAGGAAACCCAAGCCTTCCTCCTGCTCTCCCAGTGGCTGCAGCCATCTTGGTTGGATTAATTTGCATATTCACTCCTGATTTCTGGTGGGCACGGCTTGTGGTTGTAATGGAGTGATGGTTATTTTGCATATTACTCTTTTATTAGATAGGATTGTTTTCTTTGGAGGAAAAAAAACAACCCAAAACAGGAAGTCACTAATACCTTTTAGTCATTCATTATATATATGGCAAACCCAGGTCACGGTCATGGAAGCAGGGTTTAATTTTTAGTGTGCTGAGGAAGTAAGAAAACAGAGATTGTAAATGTAAATTACTTTTCTAGGAGAACCATAGGCACTAGGAAAGGGTAAATTTGTTTTTAATTTGTGTTTGAGAGCTGTCACTGCTTAGAAATGAGAAACTTAAGCCATTTACAATCTATGACTGTAAGAAAGAGTGACTAGAAAAAAAATCAATGAAGAGGGATGGAAAAATCCCTCTGCAGGATAGGCAGACATGTCCTGAGCCTTATCCTGGAGCAGATAGAAGGAACACCTAAATAGAAGAACATCCACGCAGAATTGGCAAAGTAGACACAGCTGGTGAGACAATTTGCAGATGCAGGTCTGGGATCTGGGCTGGAGAGAGTTGTGATATCATTGAGTCAAGAAGGTCAGAAGAAAGCTGCATGGCACCAAGTCCATGTTTCTTGGGAATAGGCATAATACTTGACTGTGGAAAGAAAATCCACAGAACTGCTGGTGGCAGGGGATTCTAAAGCAAGGAACACAGCCATGAGATGCTGAGCCCAAAAAGGCATCCTGAAGAGTTGTCTGAGCCATGCAGTGATGGCGGGGATGGCAGAAGAGGAGAAACTAGAAGTCACCCAGTTGTTTTGCCTCTGTTTTGTCTTCCCTTTTATTCACTAACCCCAATTCATATATCCTTTCAAATACAAATACTCCCTTTTATTCACTAACCCCAGTTCATATGACCTTTCCAATACAAATACTCCATAAGTTCGCACCTCCACCGGCACTGCAGGTGCGGATTTATGGAGTCTGGGGAGAGGCTATGGAGGAGAGCAGGTCGGGGAGAGGTGACCAGAAATCCAGTACTGAGACATTCCTGACCCTCCAAACCTAAGCAGCTATATTTTCTGGAGAGCCAGCCCCTACCAGCAGCCTCACTAATCATCTGAGAGATGCAAATGAAAACGACAATGAGGTACAAACTCACACCTGTCAGAATGGCTATCATCAACTAAAGACAAGTGCTGGAGAGGATGTGGAGAAAAAAGAAACCTTGTGCACTGCTGGTGGGAATGCAAACTGGTGCAGCTACTGTGGAAAACAGTATGGAGTTTCCTCAGAAAATTAAAAATTGAACTCCAATTTGACCCAGTGGTCCCACTTCTAGGGATATATCCCAAGAAATCAGAAATACCAATCAGAAAGGATATATGCACCTCTATGTACATAGTGGCATAATTTACAGTTGCTAAGATTTGGAAACAGCCTAAGTGTCCATCAGTAGATGAGTGGATTAAAAAACAGTGGTGCATCTACACAATGGAATACTATGCTACAATAAAAAAAAAAAAAAAGAAGGAACTCTTACCATTTGTAACAGCATGGATGGACCTGGAGAGCATTATGCTAAGCAAAATAAGTCAATCAAAAAAATAAAAATATCACATGATCTCACTCATTTATGGAATACAATGAACAAAATAAACCAATGAACAAAAATAGACCCAGAAACATAGAAGCCTTGAATACACCATCCAACCTAAGAGAAAAGGCAGGGGATTGAGGGTAGGTGAGAGATCAACCAAAGGACTTATATGCATGCATATGAATATAACCAATGGACACAGACAATAGGAGGGTGAGGGCATGTGCTGGAAGTGGGAGAAGCCATGAAGAGTTCAAAGGGGAAAAAAGGAGACTGATGTAATACTTTAAACAAAAAAGAATTTAAACTATTTTTTTTTAAAGGAGCTACTAGAGTAAAGAATGCTGGCAAGAATCAAAACAGATTTATGGAAAACTGACAACTTGTATTTTGTCTCATCTATATGATTCATATGTTTTATGAGCAAAACTTGATTGTAGTTATAGGAGACAATGGAATATAATCTTGATAAAAGGAAATAAAAGTAACAGGTTTGCAATATTCTTGTATTTTTTAAAAATATATTTTATTGATTTTTTTACAGAGAGGAAGGGAGAGAAAGAGAGTTAGAAACATCTGCCTCCTGAACATCATCCCTACTGGGGATGTGCCCGTATCCAAGGTACATGCCCTTGACCAGACTTGAACCTGGGACTCTTCAGTCCACAGGCCAACGCTCTATCCACTAAGCCAAATCAGTCAGGGCAATATTCCTATCTTTTAAAGTGTGTTTTTAGAAAGGAAGTTATAACTAAATCATCACCTCTGATACTAGATAAGGAATCCTGTTCTGATAATTACATTAGGCATCTGGGTTTCTGCTTCCTAACTTGCATGGAAATTTTTAAACACTACCTCAATCGAGGTGCCACTCTAGTTTTTAATATTTACTTGATTTTTCTCTTTAGATTGCTAAAGGAATCTTTTCCTTTTTTTCATCATCGACCTATGCACCAGGAGGTCAGGGTTGGATTCCTCCTTAAGAGCACATGCCTGGGTTGTGGGCTTCATCCCTAGTGTGGAGTGTGCAGGAGGTAGCAGAT